CCATAATTCAGGCTTCAGCCTTTTGGGACCGATTGCACTGAGCCCGCTGGTGTGACAGTGAAATCTCTTCTCTCCACCTCTCTGAGTGCCATCTGAGTTCTCTGGGAAATTGCCTTAATACTTTGTCCCCAGCTATCCCAGGGCTCCCATGACATCACTCAGGCCTCCTTCCCTGCCTAACTATAGCTTCATCCTGGGGTTCCTGACACTGAATGCGGGAAAGCTCCTACCTCCAGGATCCACTCAGGCAGTCTGCACTCCCATTGGCCAGTAAGGAAAGCACTAGACCTTCTGTTTCCAAGCCTGCACAGGAGTTGTTGATTTGCATCCTCATCTCCCTGCTCTTCTCTCCCTTCTTAGGCAGCTCTGCCAGACCCTTCAACCTGCAACGTCTGCCTTAGCACTCGCCCCTTGGGGCCGCTGTCTGCTCCAGGATGGAGTGAAGGCACATTCACTCTCAGGGCCAGTAACTTGGGGATCCTTTCCCTGAGAGGCTGAGCAACATAAGCCACTTTCCCTGGGATCTCATCCACTCCCCAGCCTTGTTAAAATAGGTTTCTGCTTAACAGGTGATGTAAAACTCACAGTTCTCACACAGGACAGGGGCCAGGGCAGCCCCTCCTGGTGAATCTCGTATCTCCCAGGTGTTCTTTTCTACTTATCTTTGTCACCACTTAAACCACTTGAGAGTTGATCTAAGTTCAATTAAAACAACAACAACAACAAATCCTTACAATCACACTGTGTGTATAATCCATGTATCCCTGCATTTTTGTCTTATCCTTCTTTCCTACACTTATTTATTATAGTAATCACATATTTTATAATTTTTAAAGCAAGTCCTAATATTTTAAACGATGCTCCTGAGAACACACTACATCCAAAATCTGTATGTCCAGCAGATGGCGCAAAAACCTTCAGCCAGAATTAAAACCGATTTTTTTTTTTTTTTTTTTTTTTTTTTTTTTATTTTTTTTTTTAAAGCGGTAACCCTTACTGCTTCAAGAAAGCTGTGTCTCTAGGGCAAGTTTCTTCCTTGGGGTAAGTCAAAATGGACATGGGCGCCCTAATTTTCATTGCCGTTAACTATAATTTAGTTGAGCGGTTGTGCAGTCAATGGGAGTCATTCCGAGATAAATCAGGAATGCACAGAACACCGGCGCAGAGCAAGTTGGGCTGAGAAGATTCTTGAGGAACAAGCAAAGTGGATGAAAAGGACTTTGGAGATGCCATAGTCCATGCCTTTTCGAATGTTACTTTGTAGATGTTTCTCTGAGTAAACCCTGATATTTGAAAGGAACGACACCGGAACTCCTTGATTCCAGGGGAGGTTGGGGGCAAGAACCCTCCCTCAACCCTCCCCCATGGCTGATAGAAGAAGGAACCATCTAGACTTCACCACCCCTGTGGGATCCATGAAAGGCGTCCAAGATGTCCCAGAAAGAAGCACAAACGCAGGCAATATTTTCATTTCCCAGACGAGGAAAGGGGTGCCAGAAGAGAAGACTCCAAGTACCCTTTCCTAAAGCTTCTTTTCCATGCAAATCCTAATTTACCTTATATAAAAAAAAAAACCGCTTAGGGAAAGCTTTCTTTGATAGTGTCTGCCTATTGTTTCCAAAGAAACACTTACTTGACACCTTAGCTTTCTGGTCTCCGGTGGATGCGTGTGAATTGAAAGCCTTCACATGAGTTTTCGCTGCATAAAACTGTATTTTAGCTATGGCCTAACTTACCTAGTAAAAGAAAAAAATACCCAAATAAATGGGGGCTTGACAATAAACAAGGTGGGTTTTAAATTCTGGCCTGTGCCTCAGGTTTTTGTTTTCCAGTGAATTAAAAAAAAAAAAATCATGCAACTATACTGACCTGAGTCGGTTATTAATCCGAAATCTCCGTTTTTTATCCTGGGCTGCGTGAGGTTGGACTCGGGTTTTGCAAACCGGCTTCTGCCAACAGGGGGCGCTGAGAGACACGGAAAGGTTGGCGGAGGCAGGCGGGCTGGAGTAGTCCCTGTTTTCTCAATGTTTCTACCAAATTCACCCTGACAGGGCTGTAAGATTCCATTTTCAGGGTTCCCCCACCCCCAGTGTCCCAGCCCCAGAACCAACTGGCCAGAGCCCTCCCCAGAGATCAGCTCCAGCTCTGCCCTGCCCTTTCCTTCAGCGTTCAAGACAGCAGCACCTACTTCGGGGTTCTGAATAACCCCAATCTACCCTTTTTTGTCCCCCCCCCCCCAAGAGGGCCTGCTATTCCCTGCAGTTCCTATCTTGGTGTTCTCTCGGAATTTTTTTTTTTCTGCCTCTTCAGTTCCTCATATAACTATTGACTATAAGTTTTCCCAGTTCAAGAAAAGGGGTCTAGCTGTTTCCACACCTGCAAACTCCCAGAAAATAAAACTCTCTGAGTGGGATTCTGAAGTCGGCCCGGCACTGTCCTTGGCGTTGAGCACAGTACCCTCCCGGCACGTCCCGGATCAACGTCCCGGATCAATCCGACGATTCATCAGTCTCCTGTGGTTGGTCACAGTGAGGTAGGAAGCCAAGAGCCTTCCTGCTGGGAAGAACCTGCTGACAGCGAGGCAGTGGGACCTGATGGCAGCTTCCCGGGCCAGAGAACCTCAGAGGCAGTACTCCAAGATTCTGGAAGTTGCTTTGCAGGCTACCTGGTCACAGTCCACTTTCACAGCCTCAAGTGGGAGCAGGCCCTGAGCTTGGGAGAGAGGCATGAGGGTGGGTTCCATGAAAGCAAAGTCCTGTGCCCCCCAGTTTAAAATCTGCAGTCTCCTCACTTCAGCATTTGCCCCATATTCTGGAAACCAGAGGGGTGAACTACTTCCTGTGCTAGAATCTGGACTCTTGTTTTTCATTCTCACTTCTCTAATTCCCAATGAACAAATTCCTAACTAAAGCTCTTTGTTAAAATTAACAGGCAGAACTATTAGTCAGGGGAGAAGGAGGGAAAGGGGCCAGAACAGGAGAAGGAAGACCACAAGGGACTATGGTGATGCTGCGGACTTTGTGGGGGCTATACCTGAAAGGAGAAAGCATGCATTGTACAAAAGGAAGAATGATGTCAAATACATATAAAACTAATAATAATTTTAAAAATCTCTTTTTTTAGAACAAATAACAACAAAAGCCATTTATTTGCTTTTTGTTCTGACTGGATCCTGATGGCTGCTCCCCTCCTGGGGTATTTCAAGGATGAGACCGTAGCAAGGGGGCTCATTCTAAAGGGCAGCATTTTCTGGGGGCCCACCTCTCTTCTCTGCTGGACGGGGGAGGTCATAACTTCTCTCAGAACCTATTTGTAACGTGAGTATATTTTCTCTAAAATTGGCATTGTGTGTTGAAAGCTGGGGGTGGGGAAGAGATGAGGAAGACATCATCTCGATGAAGCCCGTCCCTTGTCTGCCCTCCCTCTGGGTGCTGGAAGCCACTCTCTGGCCTAGCAAATATGAAGGCCTTCTCTGCTGATCTGATGAACACTCTGTTCTTTCATGGGGCAGTCTTTGGACAATCGTCTCAATGAGGCCTGGGCCCCTAATATCCCTCACCCTGCTGCACCCCAATGCACATTATCCTTCATCTGCTTCAGCTTCTACACCTCATTCCCAGGTCATGGAGTTACTGCAGCTCCTGTAGGTTGTAGAAACCCATTAGCACAGCCTTACCTCTTCTCAACAGATGGGGAGAGGCCAAATAACTCCTTCGAATGTGAGCTGGGAAGAATCCTTTGTGGATGTTGAATTAGAGAGAGAGCAAGTTACAGGCTAGGTGTGAATGGGGGCAAATGCAGGTTATTGCACATGATTCTTTGTGTGGAGGGAGGGGACTTGTGAGTTACCCTGAAGATATTGCTTGAATGGATCAAAAAAGACAGCATGCATCGGAGCAAACAGGAAAAAAATCAAGACCTCTTGATTGAATCTTGTTCATTTTGCTTCTTCATTCATCTAGATAAACGAGGTACAGGTTAGCATCAGAGCTCAAGTTACAGAAGAGCTTGAGTTTTTAAGACGGAGGCATTTGCTCTTTTACTTGAAATCAACATTGGAAAGTCACCCAATGGACTGGAGCAGAGAAGATGCCCAAGATTGTGAAGAAAACTTTACTTTCTAATTCACAAAAATTTATGAATGCATTGTCTATCTTCTTTAGGAATGAACAATGTGAAGTTGGGGTACAAACAGAAGAGTTGGCTTATATGTCAATGAACTTTCTGCAGCATTGAGGAAAATCTGCTTCAGTATTGCTTCCAGTAGTCAATGAACAATTCTTTTTATACGCAGTATAAAAGGTGGGTAAGGTGGGATATAATAAAATGTAAGGCTTCTCTGGAATAATTGGCCTCTTGAAAGGAAAAATAAAGTACATTATTAAAAATTCTTTTCCACATTTAAAGAGAGAGGTCTATCAACCAAATATGTGGGCGTCAGGTTTTGGATAATCACGTTTGGTGCTGTGTAGTAATTACACATCTAAAAATATAAAGGTCTTACATTGTCAAGACATGGTCTGGAGGCCCTCCCTGGTGGCACAATGGGTTAAAGCACAGCACTTTGAAGCTATTGGCAGCCACTGCAGCACGAGTTCGATCCCCAGCCAGGGAGGTGACCCACATGGCCCAGCAGACCTCTCCTGTCTGCCCACTGCTCCCCTCTGCAGTGTACTTCTGTGCCTGTTTTTCTCCCCACTCTGTCTCTGGTGAACCGTCTTATCCCCCACACCTCTGGCCTATCCCCCAGTTCTGATATGCATACATAAATAAATCTTTTTTTAAAAAAAGAAACAGTCTGGAGAGCCCTTTGGTTGTATCAGCAGCACTGGCACTGCCCAACAGGCATCAGAGCCCTGTCTGAGGCATGTGACATGATTACCAAAAGATGAGACTGTGATCAGAGGGATCACAGGAAATACAGAATGAAGATGGATGAAAACCTAGGAAACTACCTCCCATGTAACAGCAATGTGAAGACATGGAGATAATTTTATTGTTTAAGTTCCAAATTTCTATATTTGGTCTATAAGGCATGGACAGGTGCAGGGAGACTACGCTTCGGTTCATCCACATGGCCACGTTCCACAGCCTGTCGTCCACCTTTTTCTGAATCAAATGGGAAAGTGAATGTTTGTTTTGCCCTGTAATTTGCCCTGTTTAACGTAGACATGAGACGGGGAGAAAACCTAGGTCATATTACCTTGAGTTTATGTAACATATTCAAAGACTTTTAATTGATATATTTCTTCATCTTTATAATACCACTCTGAGGTAGACAGGAGAGCTGTAGTTTTACCCCCATACTACAAAAACAAACCCCAAAGTAAGAAAGTTTAAATCCTATGCACACAGAGTCTAGAGCTGGATGATACTTCAGCTGTCCTGACTTCATAGGGGTAACAGAACGAAGCTAATCCCATCCATTGTGACTGATGAAAATGTTAAAAGTAAACTACAAATTACAAGTAGGTTCAACTACACCAAGTGAAACAACCTCTCAAATTAAATCCCCTGAGTGCCCAGCTGTAAAGAGTCAACCTGGTTAGTCCTTCTGGTTCCCTTTATTTGATGAATTCCCTTTGTGCTGAAGATGGCCCCAAATGGCTCTTCTCTTTTAACACCATTATTTTTGCTCATACACTTTGGCTGTTAGAGTGTTTTGAGCCACAGGGGAACACAGCTTAGGGCCTGAGAACAGGGCCTTCCCCCCCATCTGGCCTCCACACCCTTAGTCCTAAGGCTGCTTCACAAATCCTACAATCCGGCGCCTTTCATGACACCCTAACTCAGCTGTGGTGGGTGTGGAGAGAGGACGGGGAGGAAGAGACACACTTCTTGCCTGTAGAGCATTTAACGTGGCCAATGAAATTGTGTTCCTAACTTTATAAAGCTTGCTTTTCTTTGGTTTTCCTGTCTTCTGTCGAATATTATTTTCCCAGTTTCTGTTTCTTTGTCCTCACATGTTATTTGCCACTCTTCCAAATACTAAACTAAATAGGCCCTAGAGTATTGCAAATCTGTACTTCCGTCAAAAAAGAATGTGCTCGTTGAGCTGATGGTTTAATGTTCCATGGGCTTTCACACAACTGAAAAGACTTCCTAAGGTAGATTTGTTTTTACAAGTCATTTAAAGTCAATTCTGTGGTTTAATAGCCCATCATGAAGGGAACTCTCCCCCAGAAATACAGCCGTGTTGCTGGAATCCCCAGCAAGCCCTCTGGCCTCGGGGCCAGACATGACGGTGTGAGGCAGCCAGGACGCTGAGGAGTACGAGGGAGGGAAACACAGATAATAAAACGTGTGGCTGCCCAGACGCACACATTTGCGCACAGCTGTGAGCAAACCGGATGTTAATGAGCGGAGAGGTGGCCGGCGCTAGACTACATGTTTCCGCAACCATGCAGCGATCTTGGCAATGCGCTTTCTGTTTTTCAGATTTTCGTTCTTTATTGTCTGTAATTTGGCGTGAACTGTGAGCCGCTGGTGATCCTCCAACATGTTACTGAAAAACCGTTGTAGCTGAAAGGAGAGAGACAGTCGGTCAGCGCAAGCTAACTCCTCTTTAGACAAAATAACCCGAAGTTCATACCACGGTTTTGCAAAGGAGCAATGGCAGATGGGTGGGTTGGAAATGTGTACCTAGATGGTGTGGCCCCTGGGGAGACTGTGGCTGAGGAAATGGGGATGAAGGCCACCCCACAGAATCAGTGACTGGCTAGAGGCTTCACCACGTGGGGATGTATTTCTGAGGGACGTAGAAG